ACTATGCTTTAAAGTCTCGTCCGGAAGATTCCTAGTAATTTCAGTTGGTCATCCCGGGAATCGAACCCACAATGTCCAGATTTTAAGTCTAGCAATTTAACCGATTCATCTCTGAACACTGGCTAATGAGAGAATGATGGTGGTATTTATGATTTACCCTGATGACTATGGCAGTAAGCCAACTTGAATATACATACCAGAGCACAGTTCAGCCATTGTATCGTTCCTGGACAGTCTGTCAAGCAGTTAAACATTAATAATCTCTTTCACTTTCGCAAGGTACTGATAACTTCTGTACAACGAAAGTGACCTTCACCGTTGTCCAAGAATTGAACACGGGTCGCCTAATTCAGAGTTCAAGGCTTTACCTGCCGTAAACCCTAACGCTATCCTTACGGATACCTTCGGACCATACGTGCAACGTACTGCGTCCGCTCGGGCCCTGTTCAGTAACCTTTCGAGACGCCTTCGGTGACCGCTCATATACCGCTCGGAAACTAAAACAATATTTGGCGCCCAGGAGGTGAAAATTTTAATCTGTATGTAACCGATAACAAAAGGTGTCCGGCCGGGTATCGGAGGGTATTTTACCCTGTCTGCTACGGTGAGCTGGCGATGTACCGGATGCCGGAAGAAAATAACTGCACTAAAATTCTCCGATTACCTGTACGGTGCCCCACCGGTCACTTGACACCGGAGGGTGACCGGCCGGAGACCTTTAAAAAATTGGCAATTTCAGCCCGTTCAGACATCGGTACCCCATCGTAAACCTAATCGGAGTGTAATGTGACGCAGGCTTTAGGTGCCCGTTTGTGCCGTTGTCTCGTTATTATCACACGCATGGTAATATATAACCACGCGTGTGATTATTACACGGCGGCGTAATAATCACACGATTAGAGAATCACACGTACGGTGTTATATTTACTCCAAAATAGTTAAATTATATACCATTTTATTTCAAAATAAATTCCGCATAATTATAATGGTATAACTTTTGTGGGAATTCTTCAATTTTCTAACACATGGGAGTGTTTTAAAAAGCATGTATTGCAGCAGATTTTAATTTGACAACTTTCGTTAAGAATAATTATGATTATGTTCTGAAAAATACTTTTTTTAAAGACTTAGAACTGTGACTTTTTTAATATGTTATATTAATTGTGCTTTCACTTAGTGCTCAAGACAGTTGTGATTTTAAATATTGATAATAGCTATACGTGTATGTTATGTTTCGTCAGGTATATAGATAGACAATCATTGATGTGTGATTTCTTTCTAAATTAGAATAACATTATCTCAACAAATCGCAGCGTTTGAAGTTAAGTTATAACATTAAATAATGGCTAAACATAAAAGTGCAATCAGATAGAGCTACTTATATTACAAAAATGTATAATTTGTATTAGAAATTAGACCAGTGCACGTGTGCGATTATATCGCGCCGAAGTAACAACGGAAGTACCTTTATAATCATACCTACGAAATTATATTTCATCAAACATATTTGAATTATGAACATTAAACTACTATTTTTTCCGAAATCATTTGTGCGACTAAATGCGTCTTCATCTGAAAGTTCACGCACATTTTTAAAAATGTTTTGATGTTAAACAAGATCTCGGGGGAAAATGCAAAAAAAAAAAAATATTATGATGAAAGATTTCTTTAAACTTAGCTACTCTATCTTGATCAATGTTATACTAAATATGTATATTGTATTCTTTACTTGATAACTGCAATACAATATGAAAAACAAGATCAACAAGGAAAGGCGGCGTTCAATGAACGCAACCCCCACATGACCCAGCAACAAGAACCAACAGCAAGGAGCCCAGGCGGACCCCAAACACAAAAAGGACAGGGCAACGACACGTTAATCATTAAATGATAAATAATTTGTAACTGATTAGGAATTCAAAGAAAATAATAATAGGCCCACAAAGGGGAAGGGGACAGGAGACCGGGGGAAGGGGGGTTAATCAAAGAAATAAAAACTAGAGGCAATGGGGAAGATACTTACCGTAGACGAGAAAACAACCAAGCCCATTAGAAGATATTTGTTGGTACACGAAAGAAAACGTCTTAACGATTCTCGAGTCAGAACCAAAAAAACTAACTGGACGTCATTGCCAAATTGATCCCGAAACATGGACATTGATTGCTAAACACTTAGATGTGTAGATGTGAATGCCATTTCACACAGAATTGTTTCATATTGTTGTAAAACAAATTGTTGGATAGTTTCTTGTTACTAGTTGCAACGTTTTTTTGATTCATTGGTATTATATATATAAAAAAGTTCCTAATGATAGTTTATGTGTGACAGTTCGCTATAATGAAAGCTGTATATTCGTTACCATTTGCATGGTATCATCATTATGATTCGACGGTGATTGCAGAGTGTATACCTTTCTAAAAACAGTTCCTATCATTATTCTAGTTAAAATTGTTCTTTGTGTAAAATAAAAATATTGATTTGAAGTTATAACTATGTTGATTATAGTTCTTTATCATATATTGTACTAAAAATGTCATTTCCGTAACCCAGACAATTTTTCCATAACCAATTATCATTTCCGTAACCAACACATATTTTGCAATTATGCTTGTCATGTTATAAGATAAGTGCTCATCACCCTATTATTCTTATAGAAAATATCCTGACCATTGTAACGATGTAACTTAATGTTATGAGTTCGTTGTATAGAGGCCAGTGGAAAATGTTACACAAAGCCTTATTTGAAATTAAAGTAACATGTAGAATTTCAGTGGTAAAAATATTATTTAAAAACGGAATTTAACAATCATTTTAATGATGCTGTTTAATTATCCTTATTACTATATATATATGCATTAATAAGGTGTCAACATATCACATCATTTACTCATGAAACGTAAAATAAATTTGGTTATGGAAATGAAATTTGGTAGATAGGACACATCTGATGAAACCTAAATGGAAAAAATACTCGCAATATTTATCGCTGCTACCACTTCAGTCCTGCAGAGGAATACTAACGCAACTTACTGGCCATTTTTTAAAGAAGTTTCTTTAAATTGCAGTGTAAAAAATATTTGAGAATTTTGTAAAAATAAAATAGAATGACCCATAAACCGCCTGTGAAGTAAAGTCGTGATAATCACACGCAGGCTTTTATATTTAACCAAACATACTTGAATTTTCAAAAGTGTGTCATGTGTCAAATAATTTACATAAACTTTTTTTATCCAACACACAATGAATTAAAAAAAATGCAGGAAATTAAAAAAGAAAAAAAAAGAAGAAAACAAGCCTCCATTCGTTATTTTAATTTATTGTTTCTTAGATAAATTATACTTGTTCATGTGGAAAAATATTATTTAGTAATAAAGAAATTATTTTAACTAGATCTACAATAATTATAGTTCATTGAATTTGTATACAGAACCTGATTACACATTTAGTAAATTTGTTATATAATATAGTGCACCTCTTATCGTATGTAAATATGCTGTTTGTATCAATACAACTTGAAACTTGAGATCAAAATTATCAGTATCATATTGTTTATATTATGCACTAAACACAATACAAGTTTTTGCCATTTCTTTCATTAGCTTTTTTATCAATATTGAGAAATAGGGGTGTCGATAATTTTTATATAAAAGCACATTATTTATCGCCTCTTTTACCATCTGATCAATCTCTTATTAGCATTTTTTAAACATTATGCTTGACCGTGGCTATATATTTCAAAAAATAAAATGAACCATTCATGTGAATTTAAATTTAGAAAAAAACCAAAGATGAATGTATATGTTAATTTATTTAAATTTATTAATCAAATTTTAACATAACTTGGTAAATTTTAAAAATCAACAAACAATATGTTAAGAGAGAACTGTCGAAATGATTTCTTATTCTAGTGTAATTATCGTTACTTCATAAGCATTATTAATTTTAATGACTATGATCTGATAAAAATCTGAGTTTTGTAAGTGAAATTAATTGCATATTTAACACTCACAACATTCTGGAAAAATAATTGTGTATACGATAATAGATAAAAACTTTATTTGGCACATAAATCATTATTTGAAGAGACAAGATCTAGATAAAGTGTAAGAGTAAGATAACATGAATGGGAACTTTGATATACAGTATTTGCCTAGTTTTAGATGCAATCCTGGTCCTAGCAGTCCTTAAAATATTGAACTTTGGTCCCATCTGTAAGATTTTTGACATTTATCATGGTGAAGGTGAGATCATAGTATCTTATGATTCTTGGATCATAATATCAAGATGTTACAACTCAACAACATATAACTTCCCCTTGATAAAATTCCGTTTACAAAATTTGCAACAGAACTGTTTTAAATATATAAAATTTAATTGGTAGGATAATGTCATGGTTCAGAACTGTTCACTGTTTTAGGGAGAAAATGTGTAAGTGGCCGGATAACCCAGACGGTCAGAAAGGGCGTCAGAGGTCTTCCACAACTAATTAAACTTGAAAGTCGACAAATGACTGTGCTGGTGTGATGTACTCCCTACCCACTTCCTCCAAAAAAAGAGTAAAAAATGAATGAATTGATTAAAATAGATTTAAATTCATCGGTTCACACAGCCTTTATTTACGGATTGGTGACACACATATTTGGTAGGAACAAAACTTGAATAGTCATCTACCTTTTATTGGCGTTTAAATGTCAGTCAGGAAATGGTAAAGAGTACTTAAATTATTTTTTTACTTTCCCCTCATACAACCTTTATTAATTGACTGATGACTTTCATATTTGATAGGTACATACCTTGAATAATCTAGTTTATGCTAGAGCTTGGAAGGACTCCAGTGCAATATATATATTTACACATTTGTTCAAAAGCCTTTATTGACCTATGTCTTAGTATATGTAAGTTTGATAACACGAATAGTTCTGTAATTTCAAATGGTACGTAAACTCACATGGTGCGTATTTAAAGTCGCTTACTGTATTTAGCTGAAACGTCGATAGAGGATTCTATCCGAGCAAGTCAGTTCCTGTTTGAACGATTTGATAATGATTTTTCCAAGATTTGTTTCTTGTGTGAAAAGAAAGTATAGGCCGCTCTGTACTTTGGATAGCAAATACATAAAGGTAAAAATTATCGGTCAAAATATTTCTTTAATAATTTTATTTCTTATGTTTTATAGTTATTTTCAATTTATAAAATCTTCGTTATTTAAAAATTGATTTACCAAGTGTCAAATAGTACTCATTTTTCATACATTATTAAGCATAGTTATAATCAACTGTTCGTGTGGCAGCAGATTATTTAATTTTTATTTTTCTTGTTATCATTATCGAGGCTTTTCAATTATAGGCAAGTTTCAAATTATAACAAAACAATGTCCCGAAGAGTTTCCCTTGTACAGGCATTTTAAAGTTTTTGTTGTTTTTTTTTTAATTTCAAACAAAAACAATTGCAGCAGATATATAGCGCTTGGCAAAATTTAATAACATTTGTTGATGATGTTAAAACATGTTCTTAATGAAGAAAATTGAATATTAATGTGTGCGGTTTCGGGACTCTGGTTGGTTATGATTTGAAACTTATCAAGGAAGCTACTGAATTGTAAGTCTGTTACACTTCTTGGAAATGTATTTCTTCAAGTGATAAAAATGAACTAGAATTATACCAATCAGTTTTATTACATACAGAAGAACAACAACGATATATATCCGTATAATTATACGTCGGTTCCCCGGACAGTAAGGCATTAACGTAATTAAAATTTATTCGCTGGATGAAAATCAATGAAAACAATATCACCATGTTCACCGATTTTCATTTTCTTCGTTTTCAATATATCAAACCGGCAGGTTAAACAGACATGATATTAAATCAATATTAATGTTATAAGGATTGCAAGTTTCATAATTAATTTTTAATTTTTCCCATCTCTATTGTTGATATTGTACAACATTTTGAATACATCATATCGCGTTCCACACAATTCGACTGCATGAATATTTGAAAAGACATCAAGGCCGTCTGGTTCAAAAATATTATTGTATAGTCTCGTTTTAACCATAATAATTTCTTTAAATCATGTGCTTTATCGTCGTGCCCCCCGTACAGTTATGTGTTCGCTATCATTCGGCTGGTCATGCGCATAAAATAAAATGTGTCCATATTGTTATCAATTATATACTGCCATGACACAAAATCAAAAATCCACCAAGCAGAAAAAATAGCTAAATATTGTAGCCATCTTCGTTTGGTGACGAAAACAAAAATAAAAGAAAAACAATGTCAGTATCATTAAATGGGGAAACTGACAGTCGGAAAGAAACATGTTTTTATAAAGAAACAAGTTTTGACTGGCACACACAAGAATGCAACGCTTCGCTTGACATAAATTATTCAAATTCTTCTTTGTCAGTTCTTTTTAATTTTCTAGACTGGCGTTTATGGTTTGTGAAAGGGCAATTACAACTTCAATGGCCTTTTCGTCTGTCATAATAGCTGATCAGTCCGATTCGTATGAGGAAAAATGAAATGTTGCGATATGTACAATGAATAGCGAACTTGAGAATTTCGCAATGCAAACATATTCAAATGAAATTATCTTATCCGTAAATTAATCGCGCTCTTCGTTTTTTATTAATCATGTGGATAATTATGTATGTTACTGATGTACCTATAAATAGAATGATGACCTTAACATTGTGAAAGTCCAAAAATCTATTTATAGAAGAACTTTTAGTTTAACGAAACGGTCATTCGTGTCGCGCTATGGTAATAAATAACGAACTGGAGAATTTGGCAGAAACATATTCAAATAATTAATTGCACTCTTTATAAATCTATAGCATTTAAGAAGGCAATTTTTACGAATTGTTATATCATAGTATTATTTTTGAAATTGTAGGTCTGTCTGGTTTTCTTTTTACGGCTCTGATTGCACATTTTTACCGTGAATATTTAAATAGACCTATCCCGGAACAACCAATATTCGAACAGTTAAGCATGTTTTGGGCAATAATAAATGTAATGGAAAATAATATTTGAAATTTATTGTTGCATAATGACAAACATATCAATACTTCTTAATTGCAAGATTTGTGTATGTTTTACACGCATTGATATGATAAAGATAAGGTAAACAAAATGTAACCTACTTACCCCATTCCCAATAGGATTTTACCCATAATTCAAACGGTAGGTTAAACACCACTAATGATATTTCCAAGGTTAGTCAGGGGTCCCAAAGTGTTGTAGAAATTTGAACAACAATCTATTCAACAATTCTAAACAGTTTTAACAATTTTTTTAAAAATCCAACTTTAACAATTATAACATATTTACAGTTCTGTATATAGCATGTCCTGCTTACTGCTCATGTGTGCAAAGAGGGCAGTAGAAACTGTCACCTCTTCTAAGTACCCTTATTGGGGTGCAAAATGATAAGTGCACCCAGCCATCACAACTATCACATCTTCCCCGCTTTACAATTATAAGATGTGGGTACATGTCTAAATTTTCTGGCTGATATTGTTTGCAAATGATGCATTTTTCGGATTCATCAATATCAGAATTCTCAGATTCAGATGATTCTTGTTGAACACACCTTTTATTCTTTTTTGAATGTGAATCATTTATTGCATAAGAAGTGCTTGGTTGTGGCATGCTTTTTCTTTTAGAGGCTTTAGGGGTTGCATTATTGTTAGCTTGTTTATTGATATGTTCTTTTATTTTTTCAGTCACTGTATCCTCAGTAATGGCCTTTCCTCCAACTACTTTACTAAGTGTATTCCTTATCTTGGCTGTTTGGACATTCTGCAGTACTTTGCCTCCTCTTTCCTGTAAGAAATCTTCAGCAGATTGATTTTGTTTTGAATTAGCATCATTTAGCTGTATAAGAGAATTTTTCTCTGATGAGTGGTCAAATGTTGTTGAAGGAGCAACTATACTGTCATTAATAACTGTTGGATCAAAAGGGTATATTCCACACCTTCTGAATGAAGACTGTATATTGCTGGGCGTTAATGTTTTTGCATATATCTTACAAGCAAGATGACAAACATCAAATCTTGTGATAATTCGGCCGCTTGACTCTCTCATATGTTGGTGACATGTAGAATTCCATGCCATTTGAAATGGACCAAAGCATCCTGCATCAAGGGGCTGGAGAAGGTGACTGCAGTTGGGTGGTAATACAAAAAGAACAATTTTATTCAACTTAGCCCACTCTATCAAACTGAGGGAAACATGACTTTTGTGCCCATCATAAAGAACAAGTATATATGTGTCTGTGTCCCTTACTGGTAAGTATTTTGACAAATGTTTTTTCATGTAATCTGAAAAAACTTCTGAATTAGACCATCCAGAGGTAGAAACAGTACCATCAGCACCTGCAGAAGACCCATCAAGAAGTTTTGCCAGCATTCTTTCACCAGGGAACACAAAATAGGGTGGAACTTGTTGTCCTATACCATTACAGCAACCAATAAGTGTTACAGTTTTGGACTTGCCTGATGTTATGGCTTGAGCTTTATTGAATGTTCCTGCAACTACTTTTGGAGGCTTGTGATCAGTATTCAAACCCTTCTCATCTATGTTGTATATCAGATGGGGTTTGTCATGAAGGTTGTATTTGGTCATTATATAACCAAGCTCAATAAAATATTTGTCAATAGCTTGACGGGTTGCACATTTTGCTCTGGATATCTCAAGACTTCTGGGAACTTTCACTTTTAGTTCTGGCCAGCGCCCAAGAAAGTTATAGAGCCAACGGTCTGTTAAATGGTGATCTTTGTCACGAATGCCAAGATGAATAGCAAAGTCAGTTGCAAGGTTGATTGTTTCAGTTCTGCTATAACCATACCCTACCTCTGCCATTACTTTAAGGTGTTATGCAAGTAAGGACTCTTGTTCCAAAGAAAAGAGAGGTAATTTGCCAGACTTAACAACATCAATATCAATTTATCCACTGACTCTATCTTGTATGGTAGTAACTGGTACTCCATAATGCCTTGATGCTCCTCTAATTGACATATTACAATCTCTGACAGCATTATATGCTTCAGTCACACTGTTAGCACTATATGATCTGTATGGACCCCTAGCTTTGGACTGAACCTGAAATAAAATTTCAATTCATAGAAAATAAAAGAAAGCATCAAATTTTATTATTCAGGACCCCTATGTTAAATCTGATAAATATTAAATTTTGCACAAAATTTAGATTTTGTTCATAAGGACCCCTATATTGTGGATGATAAATATTTAGTGGTGTTCAACATAGACTGATATATTCCGTATACCTAGGACTTAGGTAAATGATAAAGCTGAGCAGCCGATACATTAAAAGTTGTTTTAATTACTTGGAAAACATTTTTTTCACTATTTCAAACAAGTTTATATTTAATATTAGTAAAAGTTGTCAATTTTGCATTCAGAAAGTTTATATAAACTTTTTTTTACCGTATGCCTGATCATTTTTGAAAATGTGTCAAATTTGACGTTTCAGCGGGAGTTGAAGTCAAAACAGCGCGTGACATTATGCAAATTAGTTTAAGATGACATCAAAGCTCGCGAAATAAAGGAAGTGTTCGAATTTAGGTTGTGGTTGAAAAATGGTTGTTCCGGGATAATTCATAACTTTAAATCAAAAACTGTAAATGTCGCTTTCATTTTGCCATTGTGTGACAGTAACAGGTCTTGCAGTAGTATACTATAAAACCTATTTGCTGTTCAAGTCTCTTTAGGTTACTGTTCTATATATTGCTTGAAGGCAATCGATTTTATGGTAGTTAATGAGTGGAATATCATTTGCCGAATATTGTGACATTTCAACAACAGAAACTTTCGTGCAATTTTAACATGAGTTGTTATGGGTTTATTGATAGGAATGTAAACACACTGGTGGGTCACACTAGGTTTTTGATATAATTCATTAAAATAGTAGATTGACCTCCCAATAAATCAAACAGACTTTGATCATATTGACTACTATTTTGTATGTTCCAAAGAAAATACCACATGAACTTGAAATTTTAACAAATAACCAATATTAATGATAATATCCAAAAATACCCTCTATATACATGTATTATAGATAAACTTATACCATATAGTGGGATATATTTTGGATATTATAAACCTGTATATTTTGGATGTTATCGTTAATATTGATTGAATTTCAAGTTCATGTGGAACAAAAAAACATTCAATATTCTAATCCCTAGCATGCCTAACAAAGTTCACGATGAAGAATGTCTTTTGTCTGCCCATTCATAAATGATATACAATTCTGGTAAAAACCAATTAACCATTGAAATGCTTATAGGAATATCTGGTTCATCAACTAGTTCATCTTCACTTGCTGCATTTCTTGCTTGGACGCCCTTTGATGCTTTCAATTGCATCAATGCTTTTCTTGTATATCTTATGTTTAAGAATAATCTGTACTCGTATCAATAAATCTGATATGAAACTTTTAAAAGTTAGGTCAACGCTAGAAAATACAGTCTATTTGTAAAAAAATATAGAAAATCTGGTGTATGAACAGAAGCTCTTTAACATAGTTTCACAACGTAATGATTTATCCGGATATCTTATTACCTTAATAAATTAATAAACAAATTCATCCTTTAAACTTTTTTTATTCTATTATTGTTCTAAGTTGGGCATGTGGTATGGCTCTGACTGACTGTTAATTACCATGTTAAAACACTCTTTACTAACGAATGCAAGTAGCATTATGGCAAATACAAATATAATTTATCACATTTCGTGATATTCTGCTTTACAAATTGATAAAATAAGCACTAGAATGCCCGCTGACAAATTGTTGATGTCTTTTTTAATGTACTTGTGCACTAGTGTTCGTCCAAAACATTTGTAACAAATACATTCAATTACTTAGCTTAAATGTCATACGTCTTACAATACTTTATTTTAAACAAAGCAATTTACTGCATATGTAATAGCTTTAATGATCTTTTGTGTGGATTCAATATGATAGTCACAATGCACTTATTCACAGACAGTCTCACAAGCATTACGTGATTAGACTGCTTTCATATATTTAAAGACTTGCTTGAAATATCTGTACTTATCTGTTATAATATAATGTAATATAATATAATACAATATGGTATTTTTATGCTATGAAAATGTTGATAAAGTTCTAATTGATTGACTTTGTAAATGTGTATGATGAAAAGAGTGTGTTCTTGAACATTTTATTTTTTCCTGAACCATTATGTTTTATGGAAATATTAATCTCACATTTTCTAACAACGACCATATCTATTTTTTGTGGTTTGTTGTCGTGCATATACATATATACAAATGAGCCAAAATTGTTAAAATTTGCGAACGGAATTCAGAGTTTCAATTACAATAAAGTCAATGATATGTTCAATGGTTGTTAAAAAAAGTCAACTACTACATTCAAATTTGCTTAAAGTTATCAGATTAACTGCATTTCAAAATGAAAAAATGAATAACTTGCATAACCAATATTCCCATAATGGTACAATCGAATAATAAAAACGTTATCGTGTTCGACTCATGTTTCTTTAGTCAATGTTTTGAATTAGCATATTGAGATACCTGTACATTTTGTTGATTAAGCCGAGGTTTGTTGACGTTTGCTCATATTTTACTCTTATGTTTTTTTTTGTTTTTTTGTTTTTATTATTATTATAATTGAAGGATGAATCACTAAAGAAACAGTTGTCATATTACTGTCTGCATTAAAGTATTTGAATGACAATACACATTATGAAGTCTCGTATCAAAAGATTTAAAACGCAGGTGTTAATTGGAGAATATGTGAATTATGTCAGATATTTGATAAGAAAGATGTAATATAGATAATATTTTAACAGAACTACATCAGAAATATATAAGATATATTACTGTACTTTGACTGGTGAAGAAACGGTGCAAGCACTGTAACATCTTATTAGAGACGATGTTTACAGAAAATTTTAGTATAAGTATATACGTAAAAGGTGCTGTAGATAACCAAACTCCTCACAGTGATTACCTCCCTTAGCAGAATTGTAATCACTGCCTTCAAAGACGTCACATGATGATGAAAGTCACATGACGTAACGTCGAAATTCAAATTTAAATATCGACCGTTACATAGAAAATCTTACGTCATTTTTCTCTTTCTGTTTTATTTTTAACTTTTAGTGCCTACGTTCGATACAGTTTATCAAAAAAAATACCAAAAGTATACAAAATAACGAAAAATAAATTCAAAAGCTGAAAAATATTAAATATCAAAACATTGTCTCGGTAGAAAATATTCTAATTTATTTTAAAATTATTTCTAAATATTGATATTACATTGTATTTATTTATTTATTCATCAACATTGTTAAATAAATGAGAAAAAACTTATCTGATAGATAAAAGCAGTATATAAAATAATTTTTGAAAAAAATATAGTATATCAGTAATTCTGATATATCGGACCTTGGTGGCAGAGAACGGCTGTGACTAAAAAAAGGATTGGAGCACCACACTAAATACCGTATTCCGGTATATACCGGACAAAGGCGCTTGAATGATAAAATGCTAAAATCTTGTCTTTTTACCCAACGGAATGAACTTTAACAGGCCATCTGTTCACACCGAATCAAGTACGATAATCAAGGAAAAATGTAAAATTCGGCGAAAAAAACGATATTTGTCTATTTTGTGATCATGATTTCTGCAAGCGTCTAGAGGTACTGCTCCAATCCTGTATTGAGCTAAATCCGCAGAGAACTACGCCGAAGAATTCAGGGGAGATCACTGTGTGGAGATTGGTAGATTACATCATCAGCATGAAGTTTCTTGTTATTGATATGCTATATTGTTCTGCATTAGTATTCGTTTATGCTGTGAAGTTTTTCTGTTGTGGGAAAGAGGAAATACAAGCGGAATCTTAAAATTTTCCTGTTCATTGATCATTGATGCTTGGACGGGCATAATGTCACTATGAAGTTTAAACCGTTGGTAGATAATAAAGTTGCCTTGGCGAAGAGTAAATTTACATATGCAACCGGATTTAAAGCTATTAAAATATTTTTTAAGGTTATTTTAGAGCCGATCGTTTTGCAAACGTCTGAACCTATTGTTTGGCAATATTGACCTGAGACTCATTAATTTTTTGGAGGTCTTTCGTTAGTTCCCATTATTTATGATTTACATTTAAGATTTAAATTATACTATAAATCTCGGTACTTTAACCGATAAAATCTGCTCCATGGTCTTGTTGCTTATCTCAAGGGTATGTGAGAAAGACTTGTTGATATGAGAAGTAGAGTGTTAGACATCGCGAAATATACTGACATAAGGCTCGTGATTTTAATTTTCTTGCGGAGTAATACGTATTTCGAGTTGTGATGTACGCTACTATATCTACATTGTATTTTGTTATTAGCTTCAAATGTCTGGAAAACCCTATAAAATGCATTGAATGGAGCAAAAATGCGTAAAACACTTATCTTTACCATCTAACGACTATTTGGCTCGGACACTAATTACGCTAATTTAAATACCAAGGAAATCGGGAAATACATTTATCTTGCTTAATTTTTATATTTGAATATATAAGACATTTTGTTACAACACGGAAATGATTTTTTAATTTAATAAACTACATAATTAAAAAAGAATAAGTTGTTCTTGTTTTCTTTTCATGTAACAGTTAATTTGGGTACAGCAGACTGATCACGATGGCAGATAATCATGGAAATGGTATGTTGTTTCTTTTGAACAAATGGTTTTACAAATGTATTTGTTGCTTCTGGAGCTTTCATTTGTTACAGTCATGATGATGATGATGTTGATGATGATGAAGAAGAAGAAGATGATGATGATGAAGTTGTTTACGAGGACGATGACGATAATAATGCTGATGATTTTGATGATGACTTGATGATTGTTAACTAGTAAACAAAGCGGAAATTAGTCATGATTGTGTTGTTATTATGATTGATTGATTGATTTACTGATTTGATGCTGTTGTTCTAATACTATCTTTTTGTTAATATCAGACATTGAAAATGAAGATCAGAATGAAAATGAACCGCCAGTAAAAGTAGATGATGTTGATGTTTATGCTGGTAAGTGTTAAAATAATATTATGATAAGAATGTTGATATGCGATTTTCTTTCCTCAAATATATGCACGATCAGAAAATATAACAAAACACGAACGCATTGCATTTGGCGTTGAAGGATTTCCAGCAATAGTATTTGGCTGGTATTATTGATTTTAAATGTTTTCCAATAAAATCTTATTGCGAGAAATCGAAATTTATTTACAACCTACTGGAAAGGCGTATACACGGTTGACATATAGCAGAATTGAAACTACATGATGACATTGACCTTAATCTTGGATGATCATAGAGAACATTAACATTATAGAAATATGACGCAAATAAGAATGACGCGGGGATGTTAGGGGTCACTAAACTCATTTTAGCATTTTCTGCCCTTGAATTTGAAAATTTTAACTTTCTCAATGGCAGATAAATCACAATCTAGACAAAGCCATACTCCTTTAAGAACAAGTTCTTAAACTGCAAATATTGAATTGAATTTATGTAAATTTGTAATGAACAAGGTGAAAATTAAAGACATATTTTATCAGAAAACAGTAGTTAAAAATGTTTTAATAACTTATGCATAAATATCTGCTTATGAAATGACGTGAAATAACTAAATAATCAAAGTCAAGGACAGATTACAAGAAAAAGAAGTCGGTGATCCATCCCCCAATTCTTGTTTGCTTAAAATGTTTCTGATACCACCATTTAATATCGTGCAAAGGTAACATGAATTATATTGGGTAGTTTTTGTTCTGTGTATATGTGACCGGACCCTTGCATGTTGTTTAGTTGTTTTCCAAAGTTTATGGATGTTGTCACCTGTTATGCTTACTCAATATATATACCATACAGAATCGAAAAAAGTATTGTATTAAGTTTTTTTGTTGTTTTTTTGAAACAATAAATATTTGTTTATATAATATAATCTAATACTTTTTTCGATTCTGTATAGTCTGATTCTATTTTACCCTAATGATAATACTTCGAGCAGCTTATTTAATAAGAAAAAAAAATATTGAACGGTAGTGGAACATTTGACCGATGCACAGAAGAGTATCAATGAAAGTACTTAAGTGCAGGTGAGCGTTGGATTTCTTTTACTTTGTGGTTAAACTGCTGCATGATGCGATGTTATTTGTAACATTGTTAACAGTTTTACAAATATAGGAAGTAAAAATAGCATGAAAGGCAATATGGGAAATTATTTTGGAGTTGACATGAATTCATGATCAATTGCTTTAATTAGTAGATCATCTTGAACAAATGCCAGTTTAGCTGTGGACACACTTTTTTAAAGAAAATCTCAAAATTACCAAAAGATGTTCTCTAATTGAATATCTACGGATAATGGATGGACACTTCGTAACTAATTTTGGGTAAAACTGTGATATTATCTAATAATTTATCTTAGACTTAGGTTCAAAAAAACATTCAAGTTAGATGGTACAGTAACTTTTTATATTCTTATTTTAGTGCTTTAACAGTTAAGGAAGTGTACATATCGTTTATAATAGAACGATTGCATTAAACTCCTTTGAAGCAAATGCATGAGTCATCGCAATGAAATATAATTGTGTTTCTTTATTTAGAAAGTAGAAATCAATTTTGAGTGCATTGTAGTACAATAATGCACGACTTAGTAACGCGAGCACACAGCATAGTATCTCATGCGCACTTCTTGGTTTCGAGTGCACAAATAAGTGGTGTACACGACATAGTATCATGTGCGCACCACTTAATTATCTCGTGCGAACGACTAAGTAACTAGTGCACACGACTAATTAACTCGTGCGCACTACATAGTATCTTGTGCGCATCACTTTTATGACTCGTGCGCACGACTTTGTAACAAGTACTCACAACTTAATTTTTTCGTGCGCAGGACGTAGTATCTCGTGTGCACGACATAAGTAAAAACACACACATAATATATCTGCGCCATCGTATTATTGCCCCTTTGTTAATCACTTACCCCGCTAGCCTATAGTTCAAAAGAAGGCCAATAAGGACTAACTACAAATGCATACACTAACACTGATGATATCTTAGGTGCGCGGAAAGTTACTTATGTAACGATAAACTGAGTAAATGAGAATATGGTTTAAACAATAGTAAGGCAATCTGACAATCAATTGTTCTATCTCAGTCTTACTTTGTAAATTCACTCTTCCTATTAGTGATAAAATTGCGCATATTTTCACCATAAGTATGAGCTACCAGTCACGTTATTCGTTTTAACTTCATGATGATATCTTTGTATTAATAAAACGTTAGTTCAGTAATAATAACATTTTGTTGCTCCATATTTGTTAGTTACTACCTCCATCAATGATACTTTATCTTGAATTCTGCATATTAACCCATTTTATTTTATGTTTTTGAGTGGATTACTGATGTATGCGTGAAAAACATAGGATTTTAATGCACATAACGGTGCTTTATCTCAGTAATGTAATGTGACTGAATAATGTTAGTTTAAGGTGAAAATAACAAGCAATATTAAAGCAATATTAAAGCAAAGAGTTAAAGCTACATTAAATAAATTTCATAAGAATTAAATAGCGACATTTCATTAATAAATTGGGTTTTATATCGACTCCAGGTCTTACTTTGGTGTCCAGACAACCAAAATGAGTTTTATTAGCATAAAATGGGTAACCTCATTGTGGCGAAATGGGATGTACAATTTCTGTTTGCATGAGAAACTCCGCCTTCGGATCATCCGTATTGTCCAACAATATTGACCTGGCACTTCATTAATATTCGGAAAGGTCATATGAAATAAACATTGACCATTAGCTATCGAATATATCGATATATTTGCGAAGGTTGTTTGTCAGTGAAGTGTGGTGTATTGGTATAGATGTCGGACTACTGATCTGAAGGTCTCTGGTTCGATACCTAACCAACACCACGTTATGATTTTTTTTAATTTACTTCATGTACTTGCAAGAATTAATTTGAAATCGTTTTACTACACCTGGTTTTAGAATACATTTTAAGTTACGGTTGTATGCACAATTATATCTTTTATTTAATTATAGTATATGTTAACGGTTCTTTTTGTGTTATTATTATGCAATCGTGTATGCTTAAGCGCATACACTCTAGAAAGGCAGTTATTTAAATTACTACATAAATAGTACACACAATAAAAAGGTTTTCAATAGTTTAAAGAGAATTGCAATTTCGAAATTAAAATAAAAAAAAATCGCTGAAGTAGGATTTGAACCAATCAGTCTACGTCTACATTCTTCAAGTGAGAACTCTTTACCAACTGCGCTAAGAGGGACTTATAATTTACACCATTTTACATATTTATTTCATGTAGCTTTAAACAAATTCTGCAATGGTTTCTTCTTTATATCCACAGCCGTCGTAAAGGCTATATTGAACGAAAATGCTTTTAGGATCATTCTGGAGGATTTGAAAAAAGTGCCCTATTTGAACATAGAAACTGTTACATTATCAAGGCTCTTCTACTATTAAGTACTAAGAATAGTCGGGCGACAGATCTTGTATAGATATTGTATCTTTCACGACTTGTCACCCCTTGCTGCTCATCTCAAAAGAAACGACAAGTTGTGTTTGATAAATATTTACTTTTGAATTGAAGTACTTAGAAAGGATTGTGAAATAGTTAACTATAATTACCAAAAGGCATTTCAATAAAACATGATTTGCTATAACTATCTCTACAATGGGTTGCCGCTCTTAAATCAACAAGAATGCTTACTCGAAACGCTTACTTTGTATGTTTGTTTACAGATGAGAAAAACAGAAGAATTAGCAACGAAGTCACTGATTACACGAATGAAGCAAATAAACTTCGTTTACTATTGAGGCTTAACTTCTATTCAGCATTCAAATTAAAAGGAAACACATGGAACCTCCATCTTATTTACTGTGTCGTCTTCTTGGTGCAAATCATAAAAGTAGCCCTACTTACAAACCAGGTTTGATACTTGAAACCATTTTTATTCATTCATCTATTATATCGTATAAACATCACTATTTGTTAATGTTTTTTTGTATCCCAGTAAGAGCTTTTCTTATGTAGATAATTAAAATAAGCATCTGGAAATCCTTAATAAATTTTACTACCTTTTTCACAGATTTGGAAATGAGATAATTTAGTAGGAATGATTCATGTTTCAGCAAGCACCTACGTTAAATCACCAATTATATCTATCTAAATCATCTAATTCATAAAAAAATACAAAGTTCTGACAGAAATTAAGCTCATAACAACTATAAGGACGATTTGTTCGATTTCAGCAGCCATTAGCCTTGACTTTTTAGGCCCACTGTGTTACTGTCACTTAGTTATTCATTGAATTTTGACGATTATTGCTCTGCTTTTTACATTTCAGATGATCTACTTTGGAAATGACCGAGGAAACTTTAGTTCAGTTGTCAACAGAGGCGATCTTGCCCTTCGACATCTTCTTTTAGAAAATTGGGATGCCAGTAAGGCATTTTCTTGATTCAAACGATTTTTTTGTGCGCAGATATCGTAATAATTTGTTGGGCAATTATTTTCTTTAAAACTGTTTCACTACGAAAGGAAACAAAATACCATTGTCAAATATTTTGATTCACTACAAGTATTTATTTTACAGGCTGGGAAACGTTACCATATCCTCCTGCACAAGGTGACTTTGCCGTGTATACGATTGCTGATCTCGAAAGTAGTATTAACTATGCTGTTAAAAACGTAAGAATTTTATGCCCTGCTTGAGCCTAAAGTGATAAAACAGTTTTTATAGAGCAGACAAGTGTGCAGAACTGACCAGGCTATTCACTGTTAGCTGACCAACTCCTATATCCCAAAAAATAACTAAGGAAAACTTCCAAAACAGAAAGCTGAGCAAGACAAGTTAAATCATTTGCAGATTAAGAAACAAAAACTTAAGATTGTATGCCCTCTTCATAGACATAAAAATTAGATATTAAAATATTGAATAGGCCAGTAAAATTTCTGTACATTTTTTCGTTTTTCGCTTTGTTTCCTTATTAAAACTTGTATCAACGGAACATTAAAAATATAAATCAAAGGGCTGCAGCTCTATGGTATTTTCTGATCTTTGCAATCTAAATCATACTGACTATCTGTATGTACTTTCCTATATAAGTTTATTTTATATACTATAATTCATCTTACGCAGCGACAGCGTTTTGATTTTCTTCTATAACAGTTTGAGATTGATACATGTATATGGAATTTTGCATGAAAAAAAAAAATAGAATTGCCTCGACTAGGATTTGAACCATAGGCCTCTCACACCCTCAACGAGACCGCTTATCTCTGCACCACGGCGAAGTAATACATATGTACCTTGAATAAAAACGAATACATTATGTAATTCTAAATTGAGAATTTCCATTTCGTGTTTGCAATCCTTGTTAATTTCGAGGTATTTTGTTCACGATTAACCTGTTGTTTAACACTGATGAAAATAATTTAGCGGAAATCTTCTCGCCAAAACAGTCCGACACTACTCGGCAGTCAGATTTATTTGTGTACTACACTCTGGAGTATTCATTAATCGACATAGCTAAAAATAGCATTTTCATTGATTAAAATGATATTCATGATAATCCGAAGCTTTACGGAAATAGCCGAACATTTTTCATTGGGTAAAAAAGATATTCATCCGCGAAATTTGTGATTGTAACCTCACATTTCTATTGACTAATCTAAACTTTTAATGCACTGTAATTCGTTAAATGCCTACATTAAAAATTATTCTTTCTTTTAAATTGCTGGTTTTTAAGCAGTTTTGAGTGAGAACTACTTTGCGTTGTTAGGGCTGTTAGGAAATTTTGTGTTAGACCGTGGATGTTAGCTATGTATTTACTGATCTTACGATCAGAAAATACAAAAAGGTTATGCGAATATCATTGGTTGGAGTAAATCGGAAGGAATCTGAGATATTAAATTTCTTCTAGTGATGAGGGCGACTTTTATATGAGGCTATGATTCAAACAACAACAAAATTAAATAAAAGACATACTCATTATATAGTATTAACTTCCTTAAATCCCGAAACTGAAAATTAAAGAATATTCAAATAAACCAAGTGAAGACGCAAGCTGTTCAAATTACTTAACATAGGTTAAACATTTGGGAATAAAATGTTGTATTAATTAAATATGTAATACTTCAGCAATACAATGCACATGTATATGTTTGTTTTCTCATTTACTGATCGATGTTTGCTGTACTAATTGAACAAGAGTGTTAATGCGGTTGTTTTTGGCATTTTACACGACTTTACAAGTCAAAATAAAAGACAAAAAAGAAAAAAGAAAAACAAACAAACAAAAACATATGTAACGATACATGCTGGTCATTGAGTATGGTAAGTGTCCAAATATATCAAAATAATACACAATGACATATATATGTTTATGATAAAATTCCTGTTTATGCAGCAAACAGCAACGTGCTTAAATGATTCTAATCAGGCATTCTATTAATAAAAATACGTTGTATTTCATTGCAAAATGTACATGTACAAATGTGATTAAATGTACTTTTTAGTTGATTTTCTCGAGATAAATATTCAATGTCGAGTTTATTGACTATCGAACTAGTTTTTAATGATTCGAAATGTATCCGAAAGGAAGAATACTGAAATAGCCAAAAACGTAAAATAACATATATTTCCGTATACTTGGAACAAAATATATCATATTGTATAACTTCCTATTTAAAATATTGCAGTATTATAACGCAGAAAGAGAAGCAATTGGGTACTATGTTCGAACGGCAGACGATAAAATGACAGCAACAATGAAATATTTTGACTTTCCCGGTTTTCATGGTGCGAGTATTAGAGAAGGAATAAACATGTCTGGTAAACCATACTAACAGTAGAAAAATTTTCTCGCCAGTTTGAAAATATATATCACTATAACTTTAATATATTGATCATTGTTTAAAATGAAAGCAAAAGACTGACTTTATTCTTCTTTCTGTTCGTTTTTTTTTGTATTACCAGGTGATTTGGTTGCAGGGAATATATGCTGTCCTTAATCTATTTAAGGTAAAAGGTAAATTGTAAAACATGGTCTGAGAAAAGAATTTACGTCGAATGATATGAAAGTTTTTTAATCTGCTACAATATGCGTGTTCTTTAAAAATTTTTGTAGAAATAACGTTTCCGATTGACAAAGGACTCTCTTCAGAAGTAACGCACAAAAATGAGACAGTGTACAGTTATAATATCACCCGTGAATTTGATCATTACAATGTGTCACAACCAATTAAAAGGTTTTTCTTAAGCATGATTTCTTATAGATATTAAGGCTAAAGATTGTTGTTGTTGTCATAAAAAGAGACTTCATTTATTACATTTAACAAACTTCTTAATATTTTAAAAGAAGTAAGTAAGTTGTTTGTTTGGCTTTACAATTATATGTAGTAAGGAAATCACTATGAAACTTACCACCAATAACACTTGGAGATGAAAGTTATACCCCGCCAATAAACAGATAGAGCCACATAACAATGATAAAGAAGCATTACTTGTATAATACTTTAGCTAAGTGTTGCATAACATTATTTTGAGATGCTGCAAGGTTTTCACATGACTCCTACACTTGATTTTTTGAAGTACTAGATTTTAATATTTATATAGTCACATTAGTGATATCTTTGTTAGGATGTTGTCAACAACACTTCGCTTTAAGCTTCATTCCGTACGTTCACACGACAGCAGCAGGAAAGCAACATGTCTACGAGTAGAGGGCTCGGTGAGTGTATTTTCTCTTTCTTAGAAATAAATCGGAAACACTTATATAAAAGGAAATGCCCAATTTATGTTTCAAAATTTCGTGATGTGTTCATCCAAAGTACTTCAAAGATTCAACTTTTTTTCGTTTTGTGCAATTACTTGTATTAAACAGGTGCTTTCGTGCTATGTTCTTTGTTTAATGTACATCTGTCTGTTACCTACATAAAGCAACAAAAAGCAAGCCTGTGACAAAATAATATTATCTTTATACCAAAGCATATGACTTAGGAAATAGATCGCCCATATATATTTTCACGGGCAAACAACAGTAATAATGGCGATATAAAAAGTTTATGGTCTGAAATCATGGTACAGTAAAGTGATTTTGAAGATTTAACTTTTACAGGTGGAATTTGTTAATCTGGACAATAATGGTCAAGTGTTAATTGACCTTGATACGAAAGCCAGTAGAATAAAGTGTAAAAACATGAATCTACCTTTGTCAGGTTAGTAATAACGTAATTTTTGCGTTTTAGCTTTGAGTTATGTTGGTGGTTTCTTTATATTATTGTTATCATAATTTTGACCTTTGTTCACCTAGGAGTATATTCAGTTCAATGAAAACATGTTGTTTTTTAGTAGATAACCATTTCAATATTAGCACTCTGAAAATTTCATTTATCATGTAAATTATAAATAATCTTCCATTCTTTTTAGAATATCATAGAATAATAATTATCAAAAATATTCTTTGACAACAAATTCTCCGGATGAGTCTCCTCATTGCTACTAATAGGGAATTTCCATTTTGTGTTCGTTTTCCTAGACTTTCTGTAACTTAATAATTATCGAAGGAAAATTGTCTTAATGAAAAATCTAAAATGTTTTACAAAACAACAATTTTTTTTCAAAATTCAGGCCATGTTTTAACATGGAAAAACGCGATTTTGGGTAATTTCAGATATTTTCAGCATTTTTTGTTAACCCGTTACCTCATAAATACGCGAATCAACGCACTTTCGACCCCCCCCTCCCTATTTAAGGCCTTAAATAGTGAAAATTGTCCTGTTTGGGCCCAAAACACATGTTTGCATTTGGGAAATGTTGATTAAAAGTGAGCACTTTTTCGGCGCCGCCCCCAATCCAACAGGTACGTCAGGGGGTTGCCAGAAGGGGGATGTGCCTCCTTCTGTTTGGGAGGTTTGAAGGGGGCGGCAGTCCACCTTATCATCAGGAAAAAAATGGACTTGTGACAGGCTAAAAAGACCCAAGGTCGATCATAAGGTTACGTGTAACAAACGCAGAAAAGCCTTTGACTATATCTTAATCCATTGAGAAGTTGCAGCACTTTGAAATCAATTTTAAAGACAAAAATTAACGCAAAATAGTAATTTTGGCAATTTTGAGATGTCCCCTCGGTGCCATTGTAACAGGAAATTTAAGACTGAGCATGTTGTTACAAAGGCAATTGTCCAGTCAACATTTGTGCCAAGTTTGATTAGTATTGAAGAAGTTTTTATAATTTTTATAGCATTTCGAACTTGTAACGGGAGACTTTTCAATGAAAACAGGCATTTTTCATTAAATGCTCATGCAGTAATGGGTTAAGGTAGACCATGGCTAATGGGCAGTATAAAGAATTGTAAATTGCCAACATACGACAGTGTTTACCTGTATGCAAAATTTTAAATAAAATTTTTACAGTAAGGTTTATGAGTTACGGACATATTTCTGAGTTAAAACTTTGCTATTAGAAGGGCTTTTTCCAGGATTAACAAACATTAAATAATCTATAATATCATCATTACGAAAAATTGTTTTCTTTTGCTCATTGTTAAGAGCAAATAATAACATTTAGGTAACAAATTACGCGAGCAAAATGATTGTGTCCAAACATAATGTTTTTAATATGAACTGTTACTCTACCTCACTCACTTATTTGACCACTTCCCTAAATAAAAAGTCTTATTCAAAATATCCTTAAAATTACCACAATTTCAAGGTTTTGCCTAAATTTTCTTTAAAGTATATTGGTTGATCATGCAATATATATATAGATATATATATATATATGCCTTTACCGTGTAGTTTTTGTTTTAATAAACTTTGAAAAGATCTTGTTTCATGTTTGCTATCAAATTTGGCATTATTTAGCAAATAAATGCCTACAATAACTATGTGTATTAACTTTTTTTCCATAAGGGATCTTATAGAGATACATAAATAATGTTAAAAAAAGAAAGAAAAAAGGTTGTCCCTTGTGGCGCCTCAATTTCAATGCAGTGGACAAGTGAATCTAGCCTATTTGGATACTCTTCGAAGTGGAGGTAATGCATAAGCAATTGTCTACCTTAAATTTCTAGATATCAAATTTTGATTTTCCAATTACAGACTGGCAACTAGAAAACACGTCAAAAGAGATCGGGGCCTCAGTGATTGTTCTTTGTATTATATCATTATTATCGACCACTGCCACTATTGTTTTTGCTGCTTATACTTTATGGGTATGTCGCTACTTAGTCCTAAAGTCATTATTAGCACGAATGAGTTTTGTATAAGACCTTTGACAAAAGCAATTACGTTAGTTGATAAATGTAAAAAAGTCTGTATGATTATTGGCGTCCGCGCCGAAGCGCGGCGCCTATTATGGAATGAAATCAGATTTTGTGAAAGGGCGACAGCAACTTCTCGAGCCTTTTATAGTTGTTCATAATAAAAGCCGATCATTCCGATCGGTATGAGGGTGCTTGATTATTAATTAGTCGCGATATGTACAATAAATGGCGAACTGGAGAATTTCGCAATGCAAACATTTTCAAATGAAATAACCTTTTCCGTCAATAAATCAATAAATATTTTTGTTTATCATTTTGTAGTACACAGTGGGTTATTATGGTATGTTATTCCGAAAGCTGTTAATAGAATGATGAGTTGATGACCTAAATATTCCGAAAATCTATTTATAGAGGGATGTACTCCTATCGGTAATTCCCGGTCTCTCCCGGGATTTACTAGTGACCGGCGAATAGTACCACACGTTTATTGTCCGGTCTCTCCCGGTTTTGGAGTAGATGTTTGATATCGTTACAGAACAGAACAAATACTTTACAGATAAATAAGCTTTTTTTTCAAAATGAATGTTTGTCACTTAGTTTGGTTACAATAATTAATAAACACAGATCAACTCTCAAATTTATTGATTATTATTATACATAAACATACAATTCGGAAAAAAACCCAACAACACAAATCGCATGTTTTATTTTATCTATATGAGATAAACACAAAAAATATGTACAATAATTGAGAAAAAATGTACATTTTTATGGCATTAATATGACACTATCAACTTTGAAACATTTCATTTAATTTGTTATTCGTGTTTAGAAAAGATGCCGAGGAATTATTCAAAGTTACAAATCAGATTTTATGAATTATTCAATTGTCGTAATATTTTTATATTCTTTTTAAGAGAAATTGCCAAAAAGTGAACCATGACTTAAAACGATTTAAATATAGTTAATATGTCATGTGTTCGTTAACGTCCGACAAAAGTCGTCACTTTCCGCGACCTACCCGATGTAATAAACATCATTATTATTTTGATTAATGAAATTCAAATAATTCAAAGTCTGGATTCATGGGATACATAGTGACGAAGCTTAATTTTGGTGAATTCTTAACGAATTATTGGTGAATATGCTTGTAATCTAGCAAACAAGAAATTTTATATATAGAATGTTATTTTCAGAGAACTAAGCAGTTTATGAAGAAGCACTATCAGGCATACTTCAGGGTTGTAGATAAGGATGAGACGGACCTGCCAGCATCAGAGTACTTCCGGTTTTTGAAATTCTGGGATATAATCGTTATTATCTCTGATATATTGACTATATTCGGCACACGCTGGATAGTGTCTAAAACAAGGGTAAATATATAATATATAATATATTTAATTTATGACACTTTTCATGTTTTATAATGAGGCCTTTTAAGTCACTGTGTTATCTATGCATTTCATACAATTAACACTGTATTCTTATACATAAGTTAAGAATGAGAGGTGCACATTTTGAAAGTAATGGACACTGTACACAAACGTATACACGTCAATACATGTTCTATAATACATGTAAAAATGATAAAAGAATTTTACGTTTTTTATACTTGAAAGGTTTTAACAAAACACATTCAGTGTCCAGTTTTAAACTGATACCCGCTTTGAAAAAACAAATATTTTTTAGCAAAGTGAATTGGAGCTGGAATTGCTAGATTCCTACACCGTATGGTTAGGAGTCGGTTGTGTACTAGCGTGGCTAAGCTTGCTTAGATTCTTCAAGTTTCATAATAAATTCCATGTGAGTATAGAAATTATTTTCCCATGCAATTAAGAACACCTGCCTGTTTTTTTTTTCAGCTAATGAACATGGAATGATATTTTGTAACACAGCAAATATTCTTATAGTCGTAATTCACACGAACCTTTAACCCTAAAAGTGAATAACTTCCTATTGAAAACATTGGATATGTTAAAAGTTTTTAAAATTTTACAAAAACTTAAAAGAATAAATTATTTTGTTTACAGTATATAAGTAAGTTTATAATAAGTTTTAAAAGAATTGATTTTATCAAATACTTATGTCATATTCCGGATTTACTATTTAATGGTAACTATGTATGTTTTAAATTTCTTTTTATTTCAGCTGCTATTTAGTACACTATACAAAGCATTTTGGGATGTGATTGCATATCTTATTTGTGTAGGTGTGTTGTTTGTCGGGTTCTGGGTTTGTGGGTACGTTGTTATGGGACCGTACCATGTCAAGGTTTGTAAACTTACACTTTTGTTCATACTAATTATAAAACTCTTTTAATGAGTACATTTCTTGAAGAATGCATCAATTGAATGATCGACTTAAATCATGTCATAAATATAGCATTTGACCCGTAAATTAAGTTATATGTCGGAATAAGCTATAACATGTACCTAGTTGTTACATTTTTATTGGTTAAATCACTTATTCAACATTAAAAAAGAGTCCTCGTATTCCGCATGAAAATTTATATTACGGTGTAAATTGCCTTTTTAACTCTTTATAGTTCCAAACTCCGGAAGCAGCCGCAGAGACACTGTTTGCTGTTGTTAACGGCGACGAAATATACGCTACCTTAGCAATAATAGAGTGGGATAAAAGCGGGGGACACTGGGTTTGGTGGTTTTCAAGATTCTATCTCGGAGCTTATGTCGCAATATTTACTATTGTTGTTATCAACCTCCTCATAGCTCTCTTCATGAGTGCCTATGATTCTATTAAGGTTTGTATGCCTCATACTTCTCTATCACTGTTCCATTTGATAGAATTTATCTTTTTAACGCGACCGGTCAGAGGCCAACTTAATCAAGCTTAAAGTGACATTATGCCCATCTAAAGGTATATACTGAGTGAACAGGTCAGAGTCAAAATGAATTTTCATTTTGCCATTTTCCTTTTGATTAAATAATTTACTTCGCATAAACAATAAATAACAACCGTATTCGAACGCAATTTCAGGGAATGTCGTTTAGAATCTACCTGTAACGTTCCGTTTATAAAAAGAGTTGGACAGTCTTTTTGTATTTTAGGCAGATTTTAAATTTTATCCTAAACATTTTCCAATATAATCTGTTGGTCAAACATCATTTAAACAGTCAATTATTTGAATTATAAAGTCAATTCAGCTCAACTTGACAATGAAAATATGAGCATAATGGGACTTTAAAAGAACTTGACAAACAAAAAATTGGGTTTTAAAATTTTGGGTAAAAACAATATAATATACAAACATAACAGAAGATCTTTTTTAATTCATATAGTTAACATGCATGAACACACAAGGAAGCTTTACATAATTCTAGCAGAATTCACTCGAATGTCGAAATTCTATGTGCTATGCTTAAATGTTTTCTGTGTAATTCAGTTCACACAATTTTTTGACAAAACTACTTATCGCAATTATACGCCAAAATGACTTGCACACAAAGAAAATTTGAAAGAGCTATATTGTATCTATTCATTTCTTATTTCACCAATGTATATAAATGAATCTTTTTAAAGACATACAATAACGACAAACCGGATGAACGAGAATTGGGTCCGATGGAGCAAGCTTTGTACAGAGTTCTAATTCAAGACGGCGATGAAAGTAATCTGCGGAGCTCAATATATGACCTTATGAATGACAGTACACCCCTGACACCAGAATTAAACTCACTGAGAACTGAACTTTCAAAAATCGTTTATGTTTCTAAAAGCAAGAAAGACGTGGTCCTTCTAAAACCGAGGACTTTGAAAGTGTTTATGGAAGATGAGGAGCACAAAATAAAGATATTTAAATGCGGATTTCTGAGCTGCTCCTTCATTTCTTTCTTTTGTGATCGGAATATAAAAGATGATGACCAGAAACACGAATACGACTGTTAACAAGCATACACATACTCTATGATACGATGACAGTGATATTGACTTTCATCTATATTTAGTCATTCCTTTCATTAGTTATTCTAAAATTTAGTTAAAGACTTTTCATCATAGCCTAACAAAGGTGATTACGAAACGGAACTCCGAAGCGAAAACAAAAGGATACAATTTGGAAGCGATTTGGAATCTAGTACTATCACAAATGCATTTAAATCCTTAAATGGGACAAAGATGACCTTTAAACAAAGACTGACACCACTAACTCCAAGCTTCAACAAAGAAAACAAAAACAAAATTTAAAAAACACGGCATCACTTGAATTGACAGAAACGAATGTTCAGATGAAACTTGAACAAAAATAATAAAAAAAGAAACATCGTTTTAACAAAAGATGAAAGGTTTTTCATCAGTAACATAGATAATAAAAGACACATTTGAAGAAATGAAGGAACAGTTATTTTGATCAGTCATCAAACGATTAGAGATCTTAGAAGATGAACTTTATAACTAATCAGCCTTCACTCCGAGATAAGCGCAAACAAACATGTTATAGAAACAATATTAGAAAAGTAAAAAGAAAAGACGAACAATGAATTAAAAACATTAAAATTAGAAAACGAAAAATTGAAAGAAAGTGCAAATAATCTAGAACAATACAGTCGAAGGAATAACCTTCGTATCAGGGGATAAAAAGAAGAGTCTCCTCAACAGTTAGACGTTAATACAATTTCAGGAAATGTGAAGTCGCTCTCAATAAAGAAATAGACATTGCACATAAAATTGGTCAGTTAAAGACGGGCAGAAACTGTCCAATAACCGTAAAATTTGTAAGAAGGAAAACGAAAATAAATATAATTAAAAATGCAAAGTCACTTAAAGGAACCGAAATATACTTAAATGAAGTCCTTACACACACCAGTAAGCAAGCTAATGGCATAACGTTTTAAAGATTCAAAAGGGATTGAAAAAGCATGCACTAACTTTCGCTTCCGTTGCCGGCTCGTGCGATTTGAGGCAATTCTTCTGGAAAATCTACAGCGAATGTTTGGAACTGAAACTTAATTTTTACATGTTAAAACAAACACATATTATCAATATCAACAAATGAATTGAAGACTCTTAAAGTAAAACAACATGAAAATACATGTATAATACAAGACAAAAGAAATGTTTACAAATATATTATAAAAATATAGTATTTGAGCATTTAACTTTTTACACGTTCTAATGGGTGTAAAGATGTAAGATTCATCGTATCACTACCGTTTTAAAAATACTTAAAAGTTCAACACGCACTTTAACACAAATAGTTTGTTTTTTTCAGATACATTTAACCTTGGTTAAAATATTTATAAAATTGATTTTCATTTTGCGATGAATAAGTAAAATGACGCTGTTACCCGCAGTATATTTACTGACAAAGTTTTTGATAAAACACAGTTTTTAAAGAACATGGTATTGACTGTAATATATCATTAAGAATGGTAGAATATACCTACATCAATCATTAATAGCATAATATTTGGTTGTTTTATTTTTATTTTGTTCAACATTTTCTGACCCAGGATGGTTTATCAGTGTGGGGTAATAATTCGTTTATACAATATATTCCTTTGTTGCTATTTCACTTCTCTTTTTCATGTTTTTCGATAGAAGAGAAATATATTACAAGGGTATACAAATAGTTTGAATGTCAAATTGAATGAAATGTGTTTTGCTTACAGTTAAATTTATCACATTTGTTAATATGAATGTCAAAATGAATGTTATATATTTTGCTTGCAGTTATATCTATTAGATTTGATTTTATGAATGTGAAAACGATTGTACAGTCATATTTTTGTTTGCAGTTATACTTATTAGATTTGATAGTTATCAATTTTACGTGCGGTTAGATTATTAGATTTGATTCTATGATTTGATATTATGAATGTCAAAATGAATGTTATATATTTTGCGTGCAGTTTAATATATTTGATTTGATAGTATTAATGTTAAAATGAATGTTATATATTTGCTTGCAGTTAAAGTTATTAGTTTTGATAATATAAAAGTTTATATGAATGTTAAATATTTTACTTGCAGTTTAATCTATTAGATTTAAATTTATGACTTGATAGTATGAATGTCAAAATGAATGTAATATAATTTGCTTGCCGTTGAATTTATTAGGTTTGATAGTATGAATGACAAAATGAATGCAATATATTTTGTTTGCAGTTAAATTTATTAGATTTGATAGTATTAATGTAAAGGAAAAGAAATATATGTTTGTGTCCCCACTGTATGAATGTATGTATGTATGTATGTATGTATGTATGTATGTATGTATGTATGTATGTATGTAGTTTATGCTTAATGAGGGTCCATCTGCCCTTTTAGGCACAAAATGCAGCTTTCGCTGTCGAGTACAAACCCCGGACATATCACCAGTCATGCCCTTAAAGATTTAATTTTGAAGCACAAAGAGGTGATAATTTACCTCCATGCAATTTCCACGAAGAATTAGCCAAAGATATGAATTTTGAGCTAAAAGTAGGTCACTCTACGGCGGTCAATGAGAACCTAAATGTATAGTAACCTGAGACAATATGAAAGGCTAGCCCTGACAAGGGCTGTTGCTGCCAGCAAAAGGCCTGCCGTTCAAGCCGTCTAACCGTGATAGGGGCTACGCACCATAGCACACGATCCTCGTCGACTCAGGGCCTACTTTGTAGGCCTCGGCTTTTGTCAGGACGCCGGCATCTTACTTCATGCAAGCTTAGTCATGCCGCCTTTAACGTTACCACGAGCTGAAGAAAACATGCGAACTTGCCGTCTTACACGTAGCATTGGTTCTTCAATCATCTACCGATGCCCTGTGTCTTCTCAACGACGTACACGTACCGAGGGGAAGAGAGAAGGTGCCTCCATTATAGGGGGCATTTACATCAAACTTTGTCCGTCCGTTCACTTTTGGGTCGCACATAGCTCGAAAATTATTTGACCTAGAGTCATGAAACTTAAAAAAAATATTGATAAGCATGTGTAGTTGTGCACCTGGGTGTTTGCATGTGGATACATTCAGTATTTGTAGAGTTACTGTCCTTGATTAAGTAAAACTTTGCCATTTTCAATTTGTGTTGCACGTAGCTCAAAAAGTATTTGTTGATTGGTATATGCAGTTGTTCATCTGGGGTTTTGATTGTAGATTTATCCAGTATCTGTCGAGTTATTGCCCTTTACCTAGTAAAATCAATTCCAAAACTTTGTGTAATGTGTACCTTGAGCGCTTGAGTTAGAATCAGCCAACTTTGCAGGAATGATGATCAACATTGCTGTGAAGCTGTGCACCTGGGATTGCATGCAGATTTTTAATTTTGTTAGAGTTATTGCCCTTGACTTAGTATAAATTATAGAATGTTGGTAGGCATTGGTTGTTATGTACATAAGGGTTTGCTTGTGGATTTATTCAGTATCTGTAGAGCTATTGTCATTAACTTAGTAAAAGATTATCAGTTTCCAACTTGTGCCACATGCAGCCTAAAACATTTGACATAGAGTCAGTTGATTGACAAAACAGTGGAAAGTGGAGTGCACATCAACACATTTCTAGTTTTTGCAATGAGATGTATTAGATTTGATAGTATGCATGTCGAAATGAATGCAATATATTTTGCTTGCAGTTAAATCTCTTAGATTTGATAAAATGAATGTCAAAATGAATTAATTAGTATTTTGCTTGCGGTTAATTAAATAAATTTGATATTATGAATATAATAGATTTTGCTTGCAGTGAATTTTATTACATATTATAGTATTGATTTCAAAATAAAATAGATTGTTTTAATTTCTGTCTCAACCTTTTATTCAAAGTGTCACCCAAACTTACCTTCACAACTCATTTCAGAAAATCTTTTTTAGTTATCATTTAACAATGACGAAAAAGCAGAAATATTTCCTGTCACAAAATTTCAGTCTAATACTAATAATTTTCCAAATATTCACATCTAAAAAGTTATGTAAGTGTGTACGTTATGTACCATTTTTCTTTTCATTTTATTTTGATAATTATGTTATGTTAAAGGTGCTGTTTTTTTTGTTGTTTTTTTTTAATTTTTGTTTTATTCTTTTTTCAAAATCCTGATAGTAACAAAATATTGACGTTTATGAAAATTAAATCTTGATTTGACACTGAATATAGATCTAATATATATAATTTTGTTATATTTGGCTTACTTAGGATTTTACTTAATATCGTGCTTGGATCAAAAGTTATTATTGTTTTCTTTTCATACATGAAATCATATCATGAAATACTAATATTAATAAATACTGTTATAGTTCATTTACAACAGACAAAACATCAGTTCAAAATAATTAGTAGCTGTCACTTTTTCATTACTTAAGTAAATATAGAATTGTATTGAATATAAAATACTAAGTAAAGTTATTGCTAAAAGAATTAAATATCTCAGAAGTAACTTGATCGACAGTAGCCAAATTGGATTTATTAAGGGCAGATACATTGGTGAAAGAATCCGATTGATACACAAGTTATCAAGTACACAGAACAGAACGAAAAAACGATAAAAGTAGATCCATGTATCGCTCTTGTAAATATGGGCTTATGTAAATAACTATATTTGGTCATTCTGTCTAACGTTGATACATTTAAGCAATTCTTCGACACACTAAAATATATATAAGCTGTTTGCAATCTAAAACATTTCACGGATTGTTGCTGATTGTAATAGTTATTACTATATTTTGAATATGATGGTATTTAAGTTTATTTATTGTTTATTGCTTGAATTAACATATAAGCCTGAACAACTGCACACTTGCGTGCCCGGTCGTCGTTTCCTCATCGGCGGTATTCGTTTGTTTCTTTCGGCAGGCTGTCAGCCAGTTTGTGGCAGCTGTATAAAGCGCTCATACTCAACTCAGTGTTGGGATCATTGAATCCAGCACTTTTTAATGATGAAAATTGAGTACTTCTAAAAACAAGAATAAAGATCAACAAGGCAAAGGCAACGTTTACAGGACGTAGCCCCCTGACACATCCAAGTAGGGCACCCAGAAGGCACCAAACCAAACCCGGAACGGACACAATGGCGGCGAAAGGAGAGGGACACGTAATGTGTGAATTAACAAAAACCAAAACGGGCCTATATGGGAATCAAAGGGATAAGGGCTGTAAGGGTGAATAAGGGGGGTGCGTAAAAAATGAGAGTGGGGGATAGAAAATACCTACCGTCAACGACAATCTAACAAGACAGACATCAGAAAACATGTAAACATCCAAAACAAGTAAAATACAGACATGAAAAACACGTGAAGGGACACAGAGAGGTACTGCCTCGGAACGGTCAGTGGTAGATAAACCACCGGGAAAATCAAATAGAGTGAAATAAGAATCCCTAAAGAAAGCCCAACGCGGCAAAATTGAAAATGTTGCAGGCTCGGTTTGATTGAGCCTGTTCATGGACGGTACTGTCAAGTGCAAACTACCGTCCACGCCCCCCTAGCACCGGCGTAAGCAGAATTCAACATTTAACATGAACTAGTAAAATTTAGAATTTTGAAACATCCGCAGATGTGTTCATATGGCGGTTATTATGGAATCTTCAATGTGACACGTTAGTGCCATTCCATGAAAAGCGGCATATGGTCCCCAAGTAAAAAATGCGTGAAACGAGAAAACAATGGGCGGAACCAAATAAAATGGAATTTTGAAAGGTGATCTGAGGTTATGAAGCCTGCATATCACAGATATAACGTCAAAAGACAAATTTAAAAAGCAGGCCTCAGATCCTAAGGGTGATTCAACAGTATTCAAGTGAGGAATACTTGAACCACCCAACAAAAATGATGCCGAAAAGATATAACTCAAAAACCACAAGCACAACAATAATGTCGTGCTGAACGATCTTTAAAAATCGGAAATATAACATCCCTGATTGAATGTACGGGGCGACTTTTACAGCCTCCACACGGCACAAACAACGCTGATGTGGCGATAAAATAGAGTGCAATAAGAATCCCTAAAGAAAGCCCAACGCGGCAAAATTGAAAATGTTGCAGTAGCCGGTGAGCCGGTGAGCAATTTCTATGTAATTTTGTTGTGATTAATGCTTCCGAGGGATCACACTTTCTTTTTTTTTCTAAGTTGGGTCTTGCGATAAATAATGTGAAAGGAAGAGGAGTATAAATAGTTTCGGATATATCTATATAAACCCCTGACGAGAAATTATATTTTGAATAAATATACATGATAATTAACCTTTTACTTACACATCCTTGCAGCACTGACCATGCTCTATACTCTACACTCTTTGTAATCTGTTCAATGAAATCCCCTAACCTATTACTTCATAAGTATTTTGTGAAAAATGGCTGTTTTCATTGAAAAGTCTCCAGTTAGAAGTTCAAATTGCTATAAAACTATAAAAACTGCTTCAATACTAATCAAACTTGGCACAAATGTTGACTGGACCATTGCCTTGGTAACAACATGCCCAGGTTTAAATTTCCTGTTACCATGGCAACGAGGGGACATCTCAAAATTGCCAAAAATCACTATTTTGCGTTGGTTTTTCCATCAAAATTGATTTCAAAGTGCTGCAACTTCTCAATGGATTGTGCTAGAGTCAAATGCTTTTCAGCGTTGGTTACACGTTACCTTATGATCGATCTGGGGTCATTTTTAGCCTCTCACAAGAACAAAATTTTCTTGGCGATGAGGGGGACTGCCGCCCCCCCCCCCTTCACCCCCCTTTTTTTCATAGCTACAAATTAAACAAATTTAATGTTTATTTTATTTTATTTTTTATTGAGACAGGAACTTGTTATTTTACATCAACTAAGAAGAGGGTGGGGTAAGAATACCTGTTAAATTTTTGTCATATTAAAAAGGGGCATCAAAATATTATTTAATAGTGATTGTCTTGATAGAAATCTAAATATTTGTAAAAAATAGAAAGAAAGTTTACCAATACCGATTTCAAATTATACTCATTTTAAGTTTGATTTAAACATATTTATTTAAACTTGATTGCGAAACAAGTTCTTCCAACTTGTATTTATCACTTTCGAGTCCACGTCCTGGAACCAACGGATACTTGTGTCATATGAAGAAACATGGTCGTGACCCGAGTATGGTTTGAACGCATGATTTCATGATTTCATTGATGTTTCTAAATTCAAAATTTTACTATTTCATGTTTAAATGTTGAATTCTGCTTAAGCCGGTGCTAGGGGGCGTGGACGATAACTTGCACTTTCAAGTACCGTCCATGAACAGGCTCAATCAAACCGAGCCTGCAACATTTTCAATTTTGCCGTGTTGGGCTTTCTTTAGGGATTCTGTATTTATCTATTTTATGATCACATCCGTGTTATTTGTGCCGTGTGGCGGCTGTAAAAAGTCTCCCCGTACATTTAATCAATGATGTTATATTTTCGATCCTTGAAGATCGTTCAGCACGACATTATTGTTGTGCTTGTAGTATTTTTAGTTTCAACTTTTCGGCATTTTCTAGTTGGGTGGTTCCAATATTCCTACTTGAATAATGTTGAATCACCCTTAGGATATGTTGCCTGCTTTTTAAATTTGTCTTTTGACGTCTTATCTGTGATACGCTGGCTTCATGACCTCTGATCCCCTTTCAAAATTCAATTTTATTTAGTTCCGCCCATTGTTTTCTCGTTTAGGGCACACGCTTTTTATTACTTGGGGACCATACGCCGCTTTTCATGGAAGGGTACGAAAGTGTCACATTGAAGGTTCCATGATAACCGCCGTATGAACACATCTGCGGATGTTTCTAAATTCAAAATTTTACTATTTCATGTTTAAATGTTGAATTCTGCTTAAGCCGGTGCTAGGGGGCGTGGATGGTAACTTGCACTTTCCAGTACCGTCCATGAACAGGCTCAATCAAACCGAGCCTGCAACATTTTCAATTTTGCCGTGTTGGGCTTTCTTTAGGGATTCTGTATTTATCTATTTTCTGGGTTGAGGGGCAGACACCTTAAACACTAGCTCCGCGTGTTAAGTTGTTACCCTATCCAATTTCAGACAATTCACAGTAAAAAATTATGCATAAAACTATATTTTTCTTAATTTCAAATTCTATATAGAAAATAAGACCAAAAATCAAAATCTGGAAAAAAAACAAAAAGAAGAAAAACAGACAAAAATTGAAGAAAAAAGTTAAAGTTGCCACTTCTTCGGTTTGATCCCAAGCCCTATTAAACTCTGTGACCTCATTGAAAATGAATACCCTTCAGAAAAGAGATTCTGCATTAGGCATCTAATACCTTAAATTTTAAATGGCCTGTTCCATTTTCAAGTTGGGCAAATCCATTCACAAATTCAGCATGTTAATTATAAAATAGTCGATAATCGAGCGAATCCGTAGCCAAGCAAGTCGGTGCTACTAACTGGCCGTTAGGTTCAAAATGAATTTACTTCCTGGTTAGAAATACACTTAAAACCATAATTTGTACAAGTGTTTTACAAAATCATGTACTATCAATACGTGTTTTATACATGTACATGTTTATTTATTAATGTTTAAAATAAACATATGGGATACTTGCGCATTTGCATTCTTTTCAATTTTATATTTTTTTGTACTGAAGAATAAACTTTAAGATAATTTTTGTAATCACTTGTATCATAGTTTGGGGAGCTTTCTGTTGAAAATGTGTCAGAGTTAAATCGTATACATAAACATGCACAGTGGGTGCTAGGGGGCGTGGACGGTAACTTGCACTTTCCAGTACCGTCCATGAACAGGCTCAATCAAACCGAGCCTGCAACATTTTCAATTTTGTCGTGTTGGGCTTTCTTTAGGGATTC